TGGTTCATTGACAGCTTAATTTAATTAATATTTTCGATAAGTATTCTGTCAACTGTGGTCGACAACATCAGTGGACTAGTTAGCTAGTTGCGAATATGGGTACGCAACATATCTACTTTTAAGGTCATATGCATGAGAAAATTGATGGTGTAGTATGCGTGCTATGGAAACACCGGGAGATAGTGAATCTCCAAAGGTAGGTGTTCAGAACAATTTATGTGGATGGAAAATAGAAAGAAAGCTCATGATCTGAAGCCTAAGAAGCAAGGTTGTACATCACCACTACTTACATATAAACCAGTCAGAATGACAGACGTCGTATACTCAAGTTGGGGTGGATACTGGACGGAGTCCTTGTGGTCAATAGTACACTGCTGTTTTCTCACCTGCTGAACAGCACATATGCCGCCTAAAGGTTTCGCTGTCAAACTATTCAATGAAATTTCCTTTTTGAATTGTATACTATTGGATTTTGACAAATCGTCCCATACTTCTTAATTTAGACAGAAAACCCACCTAATGGGGTACCTTGGCAAAGGAATGTTGAGATTGTCTGTGGATTTCACATGATGCGATGGAGCATCAATATGCTGTTGTGCACATTGACTGAACTCATTGAGTTCCCAGTTCCAACACTTTTCTCATGCATTTGGGCCTGTAAGTAATCGTCGGGAAAAATTTCTGTTTAAGTTTGAAGGAGCAGCTTTCAAAAACTGTGACCACCTGGTGAGTCATAAACAAGGCAAAATCACCGATGAGCTGTCTGCAGGTTTTGGACAAATGCCCCAAAAGTACTTAATTCCAAGTCAAAACATCTTTTGCAATTTATTTTTTTGCTTTTTAATTTTGTTCTTGATGGTGAACCTTATCTTGTTGGAACGGTTTGCTTTCCTCACTAACATATTGAGCTCCGCTGGAGGAGGCCTAGTTAACATCCCCTCCAGGTTGGCCATTGGGCTGAGGTGCGACAAACAGCCTGATGGCTTTCCAGGTTGGAAGTTCGAACAAGCGTGAAAATCTGTCTCCTGAAATTTAGGCAACTCTAGTCGCCTCACACCTACTACCGCTGCATCACGGTCAGATTTTGTTAGGAGCTTTGGATGAGGATTTTAATCGTCCATTTATCTGGCTTTGGACGTACTAAAAGTGTCTTCATCTAAATGCAACCATAAATATTATATCTAAAGTACCTTTAGTGCGCAGAATTCGTCACAAGTTGGCGTCAGCCGGGTCACCTTATCGGCTGCATGCAGCAAGGTGCATAAACCTATTTATCGATAGAGGGATAATACTGTAATAGTCCGTGCAATCTGGTATGGACTGTATTCGGATTGAACGTGAATGCATAGTATCACATTGTGGTAACGGAAGCCAGAACGAGTTTTTTGTCAGCAGAGACCTGAAGAAACAAGATACTCCCACATTCCTCGTAGCCATGCATTTGCGGGAGATGCTATCAGAGCAGAAGCTCCCCACATCTTTTCACTATGAGGAAGAGCCATCAGGAAATTGTGCTGGCACTCTTGTTTACTGCATATGTACTGTGTGGTATTGCGTGGTGAATAAGTTACTCTGAGCACTGCATATTAGGGAGTGGTTCGATATTATTGGATTGTATCCCTCAATTCTTGATCAGTGGTACTGTTTAGTTAGGCAGAAGCATTTGAATGTGAATCATACCTTTTTCTTTACTAAGTTAAAAATGATTCATTACAGTTCCCCTCAATTTTAACCTGTTCAAAGACAGCACAGACAGGATTTACCGAAAAAAACGATGTCAAAAGAGGGTTTAGCTACGTACTCTTTCATACGTAAAGATGATGACCAATGCGTATTGCCGTCTGCTCATAGGTACCTGACACATCTTGAGCACCCAACACATCTCCATTCTGGTTGAGATCCCCATTCAGCATCACTTGGACAACACCGGTACGGAAGCGGAGGAGTAGGAATATTGTTAACAGTTTGTGCCTGCTGATGTGAATGCCGGAGATACTCTTGGTTTGGGCCCGCATAAAATTAATAGTGTTAACCGGCAAAAATGTTCAACTTCAATCCTTTTTTTACACACTTCACCTTCTTCGTATAAATGACCAAGGCAACGGGAGCCATGCTAACCTCTCCTGGTGGATATGCAACCATTTAGACAAGAAAAAACTGCACAAAACTATGTCGCCACATGGACAGTATGATGCAATGAAGAGAGCAATTAATTGATCTGCTTCAAGTGAGCTATCTTTCTAAAACAAGTGTGCAAACTTGTTGACTGGTTTACTGTGCCCACAGCATTACCTTTTGGTTAAAAAACCAGGAGAATCATACGGTGTAGGAACATATTCCTGCTGTTTCGAAGTGGTACCACTTTTGTGCGTTTTCCATCCCAAGTAAACAGCACCATCCAGGTTTTAACTGTTTTTTGTCTGGCCCCGAATCCCTATGATACTGGATCACCAGTTTATTAAAAAGCCGCAAATAGTGAAGGCTGTGAGGTTTACGAGAGACTCGTTCATACTCTTCATATCACGATGACATAAATGAGATTGTAATTAAACATATTTAAGTCCCTCCTCAAGTAGTATGTGAGCGATTCATTACCCAGTGACTGGGCACATCTGATAGTGCAAAATCTCGATGAAAACGGCTGACTGTTGTCCGCGCTTTTTGCACGATTCCTCCTATGCTGTCTGCAAAAGACGTTGCCAGATTTAAAGCGGTCTGGTTTCAAATGTTAAGATGCTTTCTGGGGTACCTTGCTGAAGAACTAAACAGTGAAAGTCATTATAAATGGTGAATTTTACCCTTCACAGTTGTAAGACATCACACCCGGATAGCCGTCATTCATATTTTGTTCGTTCATATGGACTTATATATGCCTCAGTTCCCAAACTGTTAAGTAGAAACAATTAAACGGAATAGCTGCGGAAGCGAATCTTCGTCCTACCCAATCCGATATAACCCCTTTGGCAATCAACTAATGAATAAGAGGGGTCAACACTTTCGCTCTTTTGCTACATTATAAAACGTGTGACTTTTGTAACGTCATATAATATGGCACATTCTCTTCCGGTTGTTCTGCTGTCAGTGGTTGGTGTGACTCTGTCGACATCCTTATTCGTTACAACAACAATATCAACGCTGCTTCACTTCTGTACGGTCATGTCATCGTTAATCTGAAGCTGTTGTTTTCAGCTTTTGTTTACCTCGCTCTGCGTGAACAACGCAAGCAACTCACAATGTTGCGAAGAAAACAGTACGGATTACTCATGGATCCAACGATTTCGCAACCAGGGCGATCAATGAACGTTAGTTTGGGACAGATCGTCAACATGATTTTGATGAAAAATGGCCAGTTAAACTAGAGTGTATTGGTAGTTTTCTTAAAAAAGGTCTCCCGCGGGGTCTTGTATGAAGCAACCTGTACTTGCAACTGTTGAAGAACGTGGAAACTTAGCACTACTTGAACCCAAAGGTCAAAGTTTGACAAGTACTCTCACTTTTACACGAATTCGGTCTTATCAAAACCAAACTAGTGTGCAGCTGAGAGTGTCTATCGGGCAATTTTTTCGTATTCGTTCTTCCCATCTTCTACTGCGACCCAACTATGGACAGCGATGTCTAGCTATTGAGAGCAAAAAATGACGAGATGACATATTCCTCACATATCTGCACTCTGATCATTGAAAAAATGATTGGCTTCGTGCGATTGTTACAAATGTTTCCGAATTTTACAAGTCTTCTGTTAGTGTGGTGCACCAGACTACCACTACTCTGGCCAAATTCAACTCGATCAAGGCAGCCACCGTGACCATAAGTTTGACATCATGCAAAGGATTTTTGCTGAGGTGACGACTTGTGCGTTGATAAAAGTGAAAGTATAATGATAGTGCAAGCGTTGCTTCTCATCTCCTTGTTGACCTGGTAGTTACAAAACGTGCACTCTAAAGAGAACTTTCACGGGAATTGTTTGAATTTCTGGTGGGCCTTCCATACACTTTTGGCAGGTTTCTCTCCACTTCTCAATACAAGAGTAAGGCTCTCCAATTAAAACGGTAGCGGATTCATCAGTAGCCACATATTCTCGCTTATCCACCCCGCTGGAGGCAACCTGGCTGCTTTTCCACGCGACGACCGGTGTAGTGTGAACATATCTTTACCTAAATAGTTTATTTTTGAACATGTTCCACCTTTGCATTATACACCCATCCAACGTTGTGGCCAGGAGACTGGTTTTGTTAGACTCTCATCCACTGAGAGAAACTGTGCAAACTTTTGGTCATCTTATGGTATATCGATAGGATACACAAAGTCCAAGTTGTTCACGACGGAAGGGTCCATTTGACTCTTCATAGAAAACCCTACGGTTCCGGTTGATGCTATCACAATCTAGCCGGGTTGCCTGTCTAAATATTGGCTGTTTTTTTAATGCTGGCGTGCTTGGAGACGGTGCGAAAAAAGACACTATATCAATTCAGATGATGGCGTTTTACTCCGATGTGACGTCCAAGTACGTTCATCTCGTTTCCGTTTAAAGGTAAATTAACCTTTTCCTTGATGGTTCTTTATAAGGATATGGAACGTTCACCATTAGGCTATCACTCCTTCCCCCTCTTGCCACTCTCTGTAAATCTTTCCCCGTCGTAGTAAACATTCAGCATCTTGTACTGGTGTTTCACTGTCTGTAACAGTGGTGAGGTGAGAATCTGTTTGATGAAATGTTAAATCTAGTGGAACGAAGCGGATCACATGATTATTATGGTTGTCTGATTCCATCGATTATGAAAACCATCCAAAACGTTTTTACGATTTGCGATAATTAAACATTTCCGTCTTGTTTCAGGAAAGTTCGGATGGTCAGCATCGTTTGTCGTTGTCACATGCACCCAAATGGCTCTGACTGTCTTCTAATCACGCTACACTCGTTCACGAGACGTTGATATTTTTACGTCTTCCGGAATGCGATAGCCACGTTGTGATAAACTTTCTCCAGATTACATTTAAGGATGAAGGCGAAGGAAGGGACAGCTGCTCCGTCGAAAGATGGTGTGATTGAGATAGCTGTTACGTTCCTGGATGATAGCGTCGAGGTTTTCAAATTACAGGTAACGCTTTCACTGCTTACGGACTTGCCTCCATCACCCCTAATGTAGCTACGTGATGCCAGGACCTTTATTCTATCAATCTTAAGCCATGAATGTATTAGTAATTAACAGGTGTGATTTAGCTTGTTTCTTCTTGCTGACTGCCATCGTTTGCTGACACCCACGCTATATTTGCGAATGAATTCTTGCTTTGCTTCAGGGTTACGCGGTCCGAGTGGTTCTTACAAAACGGATTCATGTCAAGGGTAAAGGAATCTCATGACAGTTCTCGTAAAACCCTTCGAGACGTATTTGTGTTGTTGGCTTAACCAGTTACTAAAGCCTAAATCTTTTAAAACAGAGTACTCATCATGCTTCATTGTTTGTATAAAATCGTGCGTTAGACTCAAGTTCTACGAATTACCCGAAATGCTCGGACTGAATGCAAAAAAACTGGAAAAACTTAACCAAAAATCAGCAGCGCAAAAGGAAAAAAACGCCCATAAAATCTGGTTCATAGAATGCAGAGTACTCATCATGCTTCATTGTTTGTATAAAATCGTGCGTTAGACTCAAGTTCTACGAATTACCCGAAATGCTCGGACTGAATGCAAAAAAACTGGAAAAACTTAACCAAAAATCAGCAGCGCAAAAGGAAAACAACGCCCATATAATCTGGTTGCATAAAATGCTCCCTAAAACCATAGCAGCTTTTGTTTTCTATAGTTTATCTTGAAGCATCAGAAGCATTATTTGCGCTTCCAAACATCAGTGAAGTTCTATGCCGAATGACCCAATGAATCTGATGAAGTCCTAATAAAGTTCTGCTACCATTACCTTCTCTCCTACCATAATGCATTTACTAAAAGGTGATATCAGAGGCCAAATAGCTCATCCGAGGTCTTGATTGCCATTCAAATGTTAGCCATAAAACAACACTGTGGATTGGACGGAAAGGTAGTTGAAAAAGATTGAATTTTTATCTGGGCGTAGGATAATGACAAATGGCAACTAGGCTTTCTCTAAAACTCCGGAGGGAGCGAATGACTGCCAGGATGTCAGTTCAAGGAGATATGTCAGGATACTCATCGACAGGGTTTACTCATGAGAAAAGGAGGCTGACTATTACAAATCACATAGTCCTGTCTATGTGTTGCTTCAACGAAACTGCAGTGAGCAGCCCTCGCCAGTGTATACTGTTAATTTCCCACTCCACTTGGGTGAATTTTTCAGATACGCAAATATATACCTGTGGTCAGTACTGGCGCACAACTACGAGGACGATTAATGTAAATACTTCACGGCTATTATTGAAAGATATCCTAAGAAGCCAGAAAATGAGCAAAGGATTGTCACGACATGTTTAATTTACGTCACTATGGCTTATTCATGGTAGCCTGAACCAATCCGACGGTACTTGCTCAAAAAATGCAGTCTTTCTGGACTACCGATCAGACTAATTAAAGCCTAACAGGAGGAATCCACGATCATGGTAAATGTGTAGGCCGCTTAATCTGGCACTGACAAATATTGGTCTGTTCTGTAGGTTAATGTCTTGGCGATGTTTTTACTGGTCATTTCTAGAGTAAGGAAATATCACTTATGTATGTTCACAACTTTGACATTTCAAAGACTGATGAAAAGCTCTTTTTCTTACTGCCTTCTGTGATATTTGTTTGTGACGTGGTGCTGTTTTACGAGAACAGTCAGCTTTGATCTTATTAGATTTCTGATAGTTCAATCCAACGAACGACTAGAACAGCATCATTTATGTATTTAGATGACGTAGTGAGCTAAACACAGACTGGTTGTTGGTTTGTTCGATAAGCAAACGTTTCATCACTAATCGAGGTGACACAATCAGCGCATTGTTAGGGAACGTAGTGGAGCGTAGCGATTAGTTGGTGGTTGCGCATTGTGTTCGTATACGCGCTGCTAACCGACCCTGACCTTCGATCACAATCGGTTGTTCGGTCGGGTGGTTCCATTGGTTGATCTGTTACCGTGTCCTGATTTGTTGATGATCACGCGGTCTTTGAGCTCGGCCTCCGCTGCTCTCGTATCAGGGTCAGTGCTAGAATGACCTGTGTCCTTGACCCCTCTGTGTTCTAGTTTGTTAACTTTGTTGACCCGACTCCAAGTAGTTTCATGTTTCTTGGTTTCTTAGCCTGATGTTCGGCTCTCTTTGAATACTCCGGTTGAGACAAGCGTTTTTTGTACATAGTGGAAATTGGATCTCCTTCAATATGTAGCTTAATCAAGTCCGTCGTAAACACTGGCTATTTCGAAGTAAGCACAGCCTGAAAGACGATGAGCCCAAATCCGCCCCAGACTCCCGGGGAGTCTCCTTCCTTCAGTTGTAACACCCGTTGAGTACATAACTACCGTGCCTTTCGTAGAAACCTCGAGGGCTGAGGTATTTCCAGGTTGCCCAAGCCTAGACGGGAGCAGTCAAGATACCAGGGTTGGTTTGAGAACACGGCCTTAAGTAACGAGCTATCTGTCGCTCGAGTACGGTCGGATTGTTATCAATCAAAAGGAAACAGTAACCTAATTATACTTGATAAACTGCAATCAGAATGACTTAATGAATCTTTTACTATGAGATTTCTTAGAGAGTTTAGTTAAATTATACAGAAAAACGGGAGCACATTTCATGAAAGTAACCTACTCATAAGGTTGCTGAAATCTCCTCGACAACTCATGACCGGTTTCGCCCTTCTTGGGGTCATCAGGTAGGCGCAGTCCCCGAGTTTCCGTCAGCCTTATTTTCGAATTGACTGGTTTCGACAGCTACACATTCAGTTGGGGCATTTCATAAACGGGAGATTCAGTTGAGCTTCTCGTGAATACCGAATCAACGTGTATTTGTTGGACTACGTCTTCATAGGACTCCTCCGCGTTACGATTTCCATATATTCTTGGAGGGTTTACTACCTTCAGGTCTACGCCTGACCTCCATTCAGTCCAATTCGCATATCCTAAATTCCCATAGGTTTCCACCTGGTGGGAAGATTTTCAAGTTTACCTTCTTGTTTACAGTTCAACCAACTTTCTGTGACACACTGCAGAGCTGTTTCATGTCGGTGTTTTTTTAATGAAATGAGTTGGCCCAAATTATTTAATCTTCGTTTTTTCAACCCGTATTTTGATGATTTTCAAAAGGTCACCCTATGGTCTTACTTGTATATTATTGCAGGGCACTAGCACCGGACACGACTTGTTTCAACTGGTCATCAGAAAACTCGGTCTGCTAGAGTTCCAATATTTTGACCTAGCTTTTTTGGACATGGAGGAAAATCACGTGAGTGTTTTGCCTCCCTCACTTGTTACGTGCTACCTTTAGTTAGTGCACCTGCTTTGAGGCTGAAATTTCCATAAATGCTTTAATCATGCTGCTCGAATTGTCATGGCCTACTGTGCTGTATGGAACGTCCCAACTCCAGGGTGCTAACAGATTTTGCGTTGAGTGCTTTTTGAGGGCAAAAAAGGACAACTTCCTTTAAAATTGTTTGAATCTTGTGTTAGGATCATTGGAGCATAGAAATTCAAAATCTGATAAATTTTTCATTTGACCTTCAAGGTCATTTACTACCTTCACTGTTTAACCCTGCCTATCCAGTGCATTTGTCTTGCCACCTAGCCACATACGACATCGAATACCCATACCCATCCATAAGGTCTTCGGATCTGCATTCTTCCACACGAGCCTACACGCCCGACCGGTTATCATGACATCGATAATTTAGAACGTCAACTGAGTAGAGTCTCCATTTCCTACTCTGATTTCCCATTCATGGACTATGCCGGAAATGAGCAGAGTATGTAATATGTATGCTGTATATATGAAACACGAAAATCGTGCAGCATTTCCGCATCAATCTGAGTATTCTTTTTTTACCACAGCCCAGTTCACAGAGTATATGGATGAAGGTTTGAATCACGTGTACTTCGTATGGTTTGGATGTGAGACATTGTTGCTGGTGTTGTGGTTCGCTCCCGTTGGATAGCCTAGTCCTGATTAGATGGCGTTGCTAGAATCAGGAATATGAATGTCCCAAACTAGCTCGATCAGCGACTGATTAGTTGGGAAAATAGGACGTATATCTAGCTGTTTTATTGTGGATATACTTAATTCTAAGTAAGGCTGTCATAGATGGAGGCTTCCTCAGGGGGATACTGAGCTGCAAGCTTTCGTACAGTGTCTCAAGTTACATAAAATAGTTGCCAATACCGGTCCTCCAACCCTGAGTAGCTCTCTCAGAACTAGGATCACACTACTATTAGTGAGTGTAGTTTTTCCGTTCTTGGTTGACTGACGCGCCTCAGGATTTAGCTGTGTGCGATGGATTCATTGATGTCACGGTTTGAGCAGTCTGAAAATGCACAACGCTGCCAATGAATGCACATCAGGTGTTAGTGGCTGTAATCCGCAATGAGCTGAGTTGAATATTCGTACGAGGAATTGAGCCGCTATCTGGCTATGTTGTTTGCATGACCATTTTGTTTGGGAGCTGTTGAATCCCGTCAATTCAAATGACATGGCTTTTAAATCACGGAATCCAGTCAACATCAAGACTAGTTCAACACATGTTTCATTCAATCGTTTTGCTCCAGGTTACTGAGCGTTTATCTTGCTTCCTAGATGAACGTTTCTATCCTATTTCACTTCCTTACACGGATGAAAGCCAAAACGTTGTAAAGCGAAATGCAACTCTCAGCACAATCTAGCGTAACGGTCGCATCCCCCGGATATTCGAGAAGCGATAGAAATTGCGTCTGGGTGTGTATATGTATGAAACCAAACTAGCTGAACCGAACCATTAAAATTAGAACCATCTTGATCAACTGCACTGTGCGCTGCGTGACGGATGTAGAAATATTCAGTCTGACAAGATGACTGATATCACTGTATTAGAACCACCGCGGTAAATATGAGAAAGTTGTGTCTTCGAATACATGAGAGTGAAAGTATTTAATCGATCAGTGACCACGGCTGGTGACTTGAACTTTAGGAGAGGAAACGTTCATGATGACAGAATGTCTAAGAAACGCTCATGAAATTAGTTAAACAGTGGAGCCAGTCCTAGTTTCCGTACTCTGACTGTGCATGTCCTTCTAGATTGTACTAATACCCACATTCCGCTTGCTACCATGCGGGAAAGAGAAGTTTGATGGCAACGCCAGAAGCCTACAGTAATCCGATCGAAATTCGGTAGCCTGGATGCGTTTACCAAATGCTGATCAGGTAATATTTAGTCTCCTTAAAGAATTTGGCAGTTGCCTTGCAAACGTTTTGTCACCGTACCCGAACAGCAAGGATATCTCCTAGTGTGGTAACGAAACAGTTGTGTTCCACACTCGGTGAACAAACCAACAGCCATCTCTTTAACGGCCGACAAAAGCATGTGTAAGACCTGCCTCACCGGAAGCCAATAATCCAACCTTAAATCTGCACACTGTTCGCCGCGATACGTTGGCGGCATGATCTCTTTCATGTAGTTACGTGCATGGCAATATAGCTGTTCGAATCCACGAATAAACGTTCAATACACTTCTGTGCGCATTCTAGTGGTTGACTGGGGATGTGCGGTCTTTCATTAAAGATGGGAATTTAGTTGTGAAAACACTTTACTGTCTCAATTACTGCATAAAAGTGTAGTGAGAGAGTAACAATTATGCCTGGTGTCTTTAAAGCATGCCTCCTCTGTTTCATTTTGTTGGTTGGCGACTCAAATGTTCTTACAACGTTGTCAAATATCTAGAGATCCGTTACTCTGAGAATCACCAATCAGAATACAGTCAAAAAAGTTCATTAAATTTAGTCATTTTAAAAAACCCAGTTGGTGTTAAAGGGAGACTCACCTGTATCCCAGCTGACAAGACGCGGAACATGTGTTTGATGAGCTCCAAGAGGAGCGGAACCAGTAGTGGGTGTTCCAGCAACCTTATAAGTAGTGTTGTGCCAAGGATAAAAGGACACTCAAGTTTTGGGAATGCTATTACCATTTGAGAAGAGTTGCATTAGTTTAGACCCGACAAATAAATGCTCCTATACAAAGCTCTGTTAGGTAGGATAGGCGTCCACTTCTGAATGGTACCGTTTATTTCAGACAAATAGCAGAAGAACGTCAACAAAGAGATTTATAATTCCGAGGGTGGATGCTGATAAAAACTTGTGAATCTTCCATAGAAGCTGTGTGGTACTCGGAAGACTTGTCCGAGTGCAGGTCGAGAAATACCACCGAGAGTGAAGCAGAATACGGAAAAACGGTTATGAGCTTGTTACGTACTATTTTTGACTGGCTGATTTGACCAAGGACAATGAATAGATGAATGATTCAAACTGACGCTCTTTGTCTTCACAGCTGGCGGATTCGCACGCTGTCTACTGTTGATTTTTAAAGAGATCTGATTAGCTGTAATTCCAAGGCGCCGCTAATTATTGACACTTCATATTGTTCATATTTATAGTGCTGGCTAGATCATGGGAAAGGACTGGCAAAGCTAGCTCGAAATTTGAACACCACTTCCCTGGAGTTCGTGTTCTCGGTCAAATACTACGTTCCTCATCCCCATCTCCTTGCTGATGACTATGCCAGGTGAGACATTCTTGAATAAACAAAATACAGTGAAGTCTACCTACCCTTTAGGACCTTGTTTACCTGACTGCTCGCGATGATGATCGTGTCCTCTTTTATTGCCCAGAAGACAATTCCCAAGCTCGGCTAACAGACCACTCACTGAAACATACCAGTCGATTGGTATGGGCGTGTTGGACACTTGAAAGCCTTGATAAACGCAAAACAGCGTATCAGAACAGCGTTTTTTAGCCAGAGACAGTACTGGAACAAACGCGCACGATCTATTGGTTACTTTCTCTTTCAATTAGGATACATTAGAACAATAACAATAATACCAGTTTGACCGATGATTTTTCCTTGATCAACCAAGTATGCTGCTGCGATAGAAACGTCCAAGACGGAACGTTTCTAAAATACAGTACTTTCTGTCAAAGAAATTAACTCCTGAGAACCTCACAGGATATAATTCCTGTTCCGAGGAACGACTCGTTTTTTTCGAAAAAGCTATACATCGAAACTGGAATCCAGTGGTTGTACACAGTCCCCAGACAGCAGCAAGTCCTCACAGATAAAGGGTTGTTTTTTATTACTTTTTGGTGGTTTAATTAAGTAACATATTGAAAACTAGGCTGTATTTGCAAGCCACTGAGCCGGAAAATAAGATAAATTAGTCAAAATAACTCCACTGGTTGCCTGAGCAGCATTACTCTTTATTTTTCTCTTCACAGTAAACCGGTAACAGATTATCACCGCTCCTCCCAGCGTGGGAATCGATTGTTTTTCCCTCAGCTTCACCACGTGGATGGGAACTGCTACACAAATAGCATCCCGAACTACAGAGAATTCTTCATTTTCAGTTCGATTATTGTGAATCCATTCTTCTCTTCGTATACGCTACTAGTACCGAACCTATCCATCTACACCATCCGGTTCTCATTTCACATGATCCCCCACTCGCAATTTCATAAGATGAAACCGGAAGTTTAACTGACCAGCAGATCTTCCTCAACTTTGTGTGTTTTGAACGCGCCTGATCTTCAAATGCAAAATAAACTGACAGTAAACCTGTTTAATTAGATCTCACCCTGAATGACCTGTTGCTATGTGACCCACAGCGGCTTGTTACTATCAGCTATGTGGTCCACGGTAATTTATGTCCCGACAATGAGATTGTTGATAATCCATTAATTCATAAGACTACTTCAGAATTTTCTTACCTACGTTTGCAGATACCTTTTTGCTGCGCAAATTAAACGAGATTTCTTCCGTGGTCTGTTACACAGCAACCGCAATACAAGCCTGCTGCTGGCCGCGTTTATTGTGCAATGTGAGTCTCTCTTATTTTGAGGCTGTTTATTTTATATCAGCTTACCTTCTTAAAAGTGACAATGTATGTCAATTATATAAGATAGTTTCCCACACATTTGGGAATTTCCCCAATAATTGGTATACCTGTTTGCCCAAAGTTCTGGAAATTTGGTTCGTGTAACTCCATATGAAGCATCCTTCTGTGTCAAACATCATACTGTACATGGTAGGGAGCTTTTTGTGTGGCTAGCAAATTAACTGAATTGCGGAATGTGTAAAATTTATATTCACATCATTCTTCCTTGTTCAGTACTCTTGCTGTCTTAGGTATGTCATTCTGGCTGGTTCACATCGAAGAAGAGAGGCGTTGAACTCGAGTTTTGCTCTCGGCAGAGCTCATTGACAGTACACATATTCAGTGGAACCTCTGTTTGATTGCCGAACATCTGACTTGCGAGGCAAGCATGTTACCACTACTCCATCTATGAACACTCGATGTAACTGGAGTATCCTACGAATGTGTTCCAGCTTTAGCGATATGCTACCTCTTTTCGGTAGGTCCTCCGGAATGAACCGGGCATAAGCTGCTACCATAACCATCTTTCGTGACCTTCCAGTTGTCATCTCAGATCAATATTTTTTAAAATTATACTGAGAAACAAATAGCTAATATATCTGAAACTCACTCAGAGATGTGGTTTCCATGTATACTTAAAGTTGTGAAAAATACTTCCCCTTGGTAAGGAATTTTGAACTTCAGCTGTGAGATATATTCATGAAAAAGCCTTTGAAAACTATATATATATATATATATATATTCGTGGAAAATA